CCCCACCCAGCTAATTTTTGTAGTTTTAGTAGTGACGGGGTTTCTCCATGTTGGCCAGGCTGGTCTTGAACTCCTGACCTCAGGTGATCCACCTGCCTCAGCCTCTCAAAGTGCTGGGATTACAGGCGTGAGCCACCGCACTCGGCCCGTTTTGTTTTTAAGATTCCCCTTTTCCCCAACTCCCTTGGATATACCTATAGCCTGCCAAAGCTTGCCTACCCCGAATTGCAATTATCCACCATTCCCAAATAAATTCGCTTATTTGGAGAGCTTGTCTCTGAGTTTCTTTTTAGGTTGACACCACAAATACTTGTCCAACACCTGTGTAGGTTTGTGTGTAGGCACAAACCTGCGTGTGTGTGCTCCTCGTGTGGAGTCGTCCTGCACAGCCTGCATGTGCTTCTGTCATTCCGTCTGTGTGCACTCTTTCTAGCAACCTCATGCTGTCCCGTGAATGTGTCCTGTGGAAGGACACAGCCTGCAAGCCCAGCGTTTTGGTGTTGTGAATTCTGCCGCAGCGAACGTCTTTGCCCTTACATCTGTGTGTGCACGTGCCTATATCCCTGCATTTGCGTCTGTGTGCACCTGGGCCTTGCCAGGCTCCCGGAGCTGCTGTAACACAGCACCCCAGACCAGGTGGCTACAGACAACAGAAACGAATTCTCTCCCAGTTCTGGGGCCCGATGTCCAAAACCAAGGCATCAGCAGGGCTGTGCTCCCTCTGTAACCTGTAGGGGAAGGACACGCCCTCACTTCTTCCAGTTTTCAGTGTTGCCGGCAGTTCCTGGCAGTTCTTGGCATGTAGATCACTCCAATCTCTGCCTCTGTTGGCACACGCATTCTCCCTGTGTCTCTGTCTTCATGTGACCAGCTTCTCATAAGGACACCCGTTACATTGGATTAGGGCCTACCCTCATGACCCCAGCTAATGACATCTGCAACAACCTTCTCCCCAAATACCGTCATGTTCTGAGGTACCGGGGGTTAGGGCTTGAACATATGTATTTCAGGGGACTCTGCAATCCACAGTGAAGGCACAGAATGGATTCCTAGAGGCTGATCTGCTGAGTCAGAGCAGGGTGGTTTTAGATTTAATAGCAGCAGACAGCCAAAAAAAAACCAGGAGCGTTCCACAGTCCCAGGCTCCGCAATGACACGGGTGCCCCCCACAGCCCCTTACTCTGGGTCTTCCTCATCCTGGCACTGCCGCGACTTGCCCCTCGCCGTTTCCTGGGCAGCATGGCTCTCTTCAGACATGCATCGGCGTTTGTACTTCTTTGGCGTTCAAGTCATTGGCCTGTGTTTTCCAGTTGGCTGTTGAGTCTTTTTTTTTTTTTTTTTTTTTTTTTTTGAGACGGACTCTCGCTCTGTCGCCCAGGCTGGAGTGCAGTGGCCGGATCTCAGCTCACTGCAAGCTCCGCCTCCCGGGTTCACGCCATTCTCCTGGCTCAGCCTCCGGAGTAGCTGGGACTACAGGCGCCCGCCACCTCGCCTGGCTAGTTTTTTGTATTTTTTTAGTAGAGACGGGGTTTCGCCGTGTTAGCCAGGATGGTCTCGATCTCCTGACCTCGTGATCCGCCCGTCTCGGCCTCCCAAAGTGCTGGGATTACAGGCTTGAGCCACCGCGCCCGGCCGGCTGTTGAGTCTTTTCTTACAGCTCCTTATAGAGTTATCCTTCGTCTGTTTTATTTGTTGTAAATACTTTTGCCAAGATTGTCATTTGCCTTCCAATTTACGGTGTAGTTTACCGTAAGTTTTTCACACTGATTTCCTGTCTTCACAGAAAATCTTTTATGCCTCTGAGTTTTATTTTATTTTATTTTATTTATTTTATTTTATTTTATTTTATTTTGAAACAGAGTCTCACTCTGTCACCCAGGCTGGAGTACAGTGGTGCGATCTTGGCTTACTGCAAACTCCACCTCCTGGGTTCAAGCGATTCTCCTGTTTCAGCCACCCAATTACAGCTGGGATTACAGGCATGTGCCACCACGTCCAGCTAACATTTTTGTATGTTTTTTTTTTTTTTAAATAGAGATGGGGTTTTGCCATGTTGGCCAGGCTGGTCATGAACTCCTGGCTTCAAGTAATCCACCCTCCTTGGCCTCCCAAAGTGCTGGGATTACAGGCGCAAGCCATCATGCCTGGCTTTGGGTTTTCTTTTTTAAAAAATGCTTTCCACGTCCTCAAATTATTTCCAAATTTGCTTCCAATACTTAATGTTTTTACTTTTTAAAGAAGTTAACAGACTTTATATCTTTAGGGCAGTTTTAGGTTTACTGAAAAATTGATCAGAGTACAGAGATTCCATAATACCCCTTCACAGGCACTTTCCCCTATTATATTATTATCATTATTTTGAGACGGAGTCTGACTCTGTCACCCAGGCTGGAGGGCAGTGGTGTGATCTTGGCTCACTGCAACCTCTGCCTTCGAGCAATTCTCCTGCCTCAGCCTCACGAGTAGCTGAGATTACAGGTGCCCGCCACCAGGCCAGGCTAATTTTTGTATTTTTAATAGAGACGGGGTTTCACCATGTTGGCCAGATTAGTCTTGAACTCCTAACCTCAGGTGATCTGCCCACCTCGGCCTCCTGAAGTGTTGGGATTACAGGCGTGAGCCACCGCACCCAGCCACTTTCCCCTATTATTAACATCTTGCCTTAGTGTGGCTCGTCTTCTGTGACTGACAGGCAGTATTGATATGTGACTTTTAACTAAAGCCCACGGTTCACATTAGGGCTTCACTCTTGGTGTTGTAGATCCCATGGTTCAGAAAAACCACGTTTGCACAGTTGTAGTATTGTATGGGGTAGTTTTGCTGCCTAAAAATGCTCCTTGCTTCACCTTTTCACCCCATCCTCCCCCAACCCCTGGTCCTTTAATTGTCCTCCCCGTTTTGCCTTTTCCAGAATGTCGCAGTTGGAATCATACAGCCTGCTGCCTTTTCAGACCGGCTTCTCTCACTTAGCAACGTGCACTTAAGTTTTCTCTGTGTCTTTTTATGGCTTGACAGCTTGTTTCTTTTCAGTGCTGAATAATATTCCATTGTCTGGTTGGATCAGAGTTTATCCATTCACCTACTGAAGGACATCCTGGCTGCTTGAGTTTTGGCCATTATTAATAAAACGTCTATAAACATCCATGTGTGGGATTTTTGTTTTTTGGAGATAGCATCTTGCTCTGTTGCCCAGGCTGGAGTGTAGTGGCAGATCTCAGCTCACTGCAACCTCCGCCTCCCGGGTTCAAGTGATTCATGTGCCTCAGCCTCCCTATTAGCTGGGATTACAGGTGTGCACCACCACACCTAGCTAACTCCATGTGTGGGTTTTCATATGGATACAAATGTTCAGCTCCTTTGGGCGAATGCCAAGGAGTGCTATTGTGGGTGGTATGGTGAGAGTATGTTTAGAACCTGCCAAACTGTCTTCCCCAGTGGCTGTGCCATTTTGCCTTCCCACCAGTAATGAATGGGAGCTCCTGTTGCTCCTCATCCTTGGGCCTTTGGTGGTGTCAGTGTCCTAGATTTATCCACTTACAGGTGTGTTTTACTTTAACGTTTGGATCTTTATTCACAGAGAACCAACCTTCCAGACAGGCTGAGTGAGTGGGCTCCCTTTACTTTTTCCAGGGCCCAGCTGTCCCCCTCCTCAATACAGTTCTTGCCCCAGGGCCAGACACCCTTGCACCAAAAAGCATCACACACAGGGACGACCCAGCTACACAGACCCTAAGGTCAAGGTCCATGCAGGGAGGTACACGGGGCCCTGCAAGCCAGGGAAGCTGCCCACCTCACAGCAGCTGCACCCACCTCCCTGCCCACCCGCCTGGGACACAGAGCCCCAGCGTTGGCAGCTCCTCGTGAGGGGACAGAGATGGCTCAGGTGGGCCCACCCTGGTCCCTGGGGGAACTGGGGGCACCCACTTGCGTCCAATTTCCAAGCTGCAAGGGAGCTCAGCGCCTGCTTTCCCCGAATGCTCTCTGGGACTCCGCGTCCCTGCCCTCAGCAAAGCCAAGGCTGAGCACCACAGGCCTGCTCAGAGGGAGGAGCCGGCCCGCGGGACAAGGAGCAAGGGAGGCCACCTCCAACCCGCAGAGCCGCAGCCGCCCCCACGCACCCCCGGAACCCACGCCGCCCCGACGCGAAGCGCGGCGCGCTCTAGCCGCGGGCACTCGCTGGTCGCGTCGCGGCCACAATGCAGCATGAGCGCCAGCTGGGCGGGCGTCCCACGCAGTCCAGAAGTCTGACCCTCCACGGAGCGGCATTTTAATAACCGCCTGTACACATCCAGACGCGACAACTAAATGCCACACGTGAGCCTGGAAGATGGGGACAGCTACAGAAACACTTGGGACGGGTGACAAAACTGTGATGTGAGCGATGATGGGGATAATATTCCTCCACAGTAAACGTCCTGGTTCTGATCACTGCACTGCGGCATCGTAGGAGAACATCCTCTGTTCAGGAAATACGCACGAAAGTACTTCGGGGCCACGGGGTCAGCGTCTCCAACCGCATCTCAAACGGTTCCGAAGCAACGCGCGTGCACAGCGATACACACAGACCAAATTCACGGGCAGCGTCAGTGGCCAGGCATTCGGATAAAGGGTCCATGGCCGTCCCTGTGCTGTTCTTGCAACTTTCTCTAAGTTGGAAAGTATATCCAAGTTTTTAAATTACTAAAAATCTCCCAATAGGTTGGACATAACCCAATAGGTTATTCTCCTCTTGGCGCGGAGAAGAAAGCCCAGGTTCTTCCCCCGGGTCTCCCCTTGGCGGCCCCGCTGCCAGTTGCTGCTTTGTGCCTGTCCGCGCCCGCCGGTGCCCGGGCTTGCTTCTGAGCCTGCCGGCTCGCAGTGGAGCTCCGCTGCGGGCAGGGACGCGGGTCCCAGAGGGCATTCAGGGAAAGCAGGCGCTGAACTCCCTTGCAGCTTGGAAATTGGAAGCACGAATGAGCGGCCCGGTGCCGGCCGGAAATGCTAGCGCTTGCACATGGGTGTCAGAGCCGCCTGGGGGCCACGCCTTTATTAACCATTGCATTATCCTCCTAAGCGTCCTGCGCGCCAGGCTCGCCCACACCAGGGCCTCCCAGGCCTCCCTCCCTGCAGGTTCAGGCTCTCCCCGGGGAGGCTTCTGCCGCAGCCTCAGCATTCACGCTGTCCTCCGACTGTGGGGGGAGAAGGGCCGGATCCCGATCCCGGGACAGAGCAGAGGGAAGCTTGGGGCCAGACTTCGTGGAGCGGAGAGTGTCCTGTGAGGACACCCTCAATGAGGACCCCGAAGAGATCCGAGAGCCCTCGAGTGACTGCGCCAGCGACAGGGCCCGGGAGCCTGCGCGCGACGTGGTCAGGGACGGGATCCGGGATCGCACCTTTGAAGTGGCCAGCGATGGGACCCTGGAGTCCATGATTGATAGCACCATCGAGGGGACCCGGGAAGCCTCGCGCAACGGGACCACGGACGGGGCCCGGGAGGCCGCGCGCGACGAGACCACGGACGGGGTCTGGGAGGCCGCCCGCGACGGGCCTATGGGGGCGGCTAATGACCCGGGGCGCGAGGTGGGCTGGGAGGAGGCCGGCGGCTCCCAGAGCGGCGGGCCTCCGGGGCCCCTGCGCAGCCAACCGTGCACACGCGCCAGGTCCCGCGTGTCCTCGTGCTCGCGGTGCAGCTGCTCGCGCTGTTCCAGCAGCTGGCGCCGCGTGTCGTGCAGCAGCTGGGTCCGGCGGAGCAGCTGCAGCAGCTCCTGCCGCAGGCGCCCGTTGTCCGCCTTGATGGCCTGCGTGTGCGCCACAAGCGCGCGCGCCGCCTCCCGCTCCGCGCGCCGTGCCAGGGACTGCACGCGCTGACGCGCCTCGCGCTCGAAGGCCGCCTTGTCCTCCAGGAAGCGCCCCTTCACGCGGTGGAGCAGCTGTGTGTGCTCCACGCGCATATGCAGAAGATCGCGCTCCAGCGCCCGGATCCGAGCCAGCTGCTCCAGTTGCAGCACCTGCGGCGTGGGCGCCGTCAGCCCACCCCCACCTAGCCCCCGGCCCGGCCGCCAGCCCCGCCCCGCCGCACCCTGGCCGCGGGCGCGCGCACTGGCCTTGTAGGGCTGCAGCTCCTGCACCTGCCGCGCCATCTGTGCCGCGCGCGCCTCCATCTCCAGCAGCTGCGCGCGTACCCCGTCCTCGCGCCCGTGGTAGAGCGAGGCCAGTTCCGCCCGCTGCCAGTGGATCTGCGCCAGGTCCACGCGGTTCTGCTCGTCCAGCCGGACGATGGCGTTGGCGCAGCGCTGCGCGCGGGCGCTCACGTAGCTGGCGTAGAGCCGGTTCTCCTCGCGCAGGCGCAGCGCCTCGCGGTCCAGGAAGGCGTTCTCCTGCAGCACCTGGTCCACGCGCTCCTCACAGGCGTCCAGCTGCTCCGAGAGCAGCGCGTGTTCGCGTTGCAGGTACTGCGCCCGCTCAGACAGCGGCTGCTCGGCACCCGCGGCCGCCGCACCCCCTGGCTGGCTTCCCGCGCTCGGCCCGCGCTTTTTCTTGGGCGCCATGGATTGGTGCCTGGACCACCAGGACTGGTGAGGGCAGCGACCCCGGCCCCTTCCCCAGCTTAGCCCTTCCTCTTACCCGGCCTAAATATTCGAGGCCCCAGGCCTAGAGGTGGGACGCGTCTCAGGGTCACGAGGCTTTCGGGGAGGCAGATCGGGGCTTTGGGTCTCGGGGGTCAGGGCAGCTTTGCCAACCTTCACTCGTGGCTCCCGCTGGACCTTGGCTGTCCGTCTCGGTGCGGCCAGCATTAGTAATGTTGCTGCTCGGCGGGCACGGTCTCTATGGAGACAGAACTTAGTCGTCCTCTCCCACCCCCACCCCGTTACTTGGGCGATGGCCGACTCCTTCATTCCGTACAACTCCCTCCTCCTAAGTCGCCCGCGACTGCTTGTGAATGCGCCCCAGAGACAGGGCCTGAGCTGACAAGACGTCTTCAGGCGGACTCCGGACGTGCTTCTGAATCTCCCAGAGCCCAGCAGCGCCCTTGGCCTTCGGTTCAGCGATGGGCCTTCTCCCGGGCTGTCCTCCACTTGGAGGAGCTTCGCCACGTTCCCCCACGCCCCGTTTCCCAAGTGAAATCTCTGCGCTTCCCTGGAGCATTCGCCTCTTCAGGGACCCTTGCTTTCCTTGAGCATTTCGTGATTCCTTTGGTGAGGGCCCCGTGGGAATTGGGGTTCCTGAAGCATGGAGTCCACTGGGCGCCTGGAGAGCGTTTCTCTCTGAAGTTGGTAAACCCGTGCGTGCGGCCCCCGCTCAGCTCATCGGCGGCTCTGCAGCTGGGCAGCTTCCCTTCCCGTGTGCCCGGATGGCCGAGGGCATAGGGATCCAACAGGGACTGGCTTTTTCTCCTTTTCTGTTGACTTTATGGACACAACATCATTATTGAAACCATCCCTATAAACTTTATTAAATTAATCAGGGAAGAAGGGAGGAGAGAGGAAAACAAACCCAGCTTGCATTTCGCTCAGCGTTCATGGTGAGGTCGGCCTGCCTCCCAACCGCTTCCTCAGAGCTGTTTGGTGCCTGTGGCCCCAGAATCACACAGACCCTGTCACAAGAGTAGAGGTCCCCATAACTGCTCTATAGGTAACAACTTAAACGTTGTAAATGTGAAGTTTTCTATTGGACAGGTCCTGCACACGCATGAAAGGACTGACCCAGCTGGTCTGAAGCACCCCCACCAGGAGCTGATGCACCAAAGAACGCAGAGTCCACATCCTGAGGACTTATCCCCTTTCCCTGGCCAATTGATGACTCCATTTTACAGTCCCTCACCCGCCACAATTCCCTTAAAAACCCCAGCCCAGAACTCAGGGACATGGATTTGAAGGTCCCCCCCCCCCCCCCCCCCCCCGTCTCCTTGCTCGGTGCCCAGGGATCGGGACACTGTTTCTCTGCTGCAAACTCTGCTGTCTCGATGTATTGGTCGTTACTGCACAGCAGGCATCACAACCTGTTGGTCATGTAAGATCTGCCTCAGTCTAGACCAGCTGTCCCCAGCTCCCATTCTGTTAGATGCCTCAGGAACAATGTGTGCAGCAGCCTTCGACACACAACTTAAATTGACCCCTATTTTGTGTCTTGTTATCATAGAGTTGAGTTTCTGCCCAGTTTGTCCACACTTGCTGGGATATGGGCAGATTTGAGGATCTTTGACTTGTCGCTTTGTGAGGGACACAGTTTAGAAAACCATGTTTGCACAGAGGTTTGTGGTGGAGACTGGTGGCTCGTGGACATGGCTGGGCTTGCTCTGATCAGCCAACCTGCCTGAAAGGTGCAGCAGGGCCTTTTAAAATTAGGAACACGATTGAGGCATTTTACCCCTTGTAAAAAAATGTATTTTAGGCTGGGAGCGGTAGCTCACGCCTGTAATCCCAGCACTTTGGGAGGCCGAGGCGGGCGGATCATAAGGTCAGGAAATCCAGACCATCCTCGCCAACATGGTGAAACTCCATCTCTACTAAAAATACAAAAAATTAGCTGGGGATGGTGGCGGGCACCTGTAGTCCCAGCTACTTGGGAGGCTGAGGCAGGAGAATGGCGTGAACCTGGGAGGTGGAGCTTGCAGTGAGCCGAGATCACACCACTGCACTCCAGCCTGGGTGACAAAGCGAGACTCTGTCTCAAAAATATATATATATATTTTATAGCCAGGCATGGTGACTCACACCTGTAATCCCAGCACTTTGGGAGGCCGAGGTGGATGTCTCACGAGGTCAAGAGCTCGAGACCAGCCTGACCAACATGGTGAAACCCCGTCTCTACTAAAAATAAAAAAAATTAACCAGGCGTGGTGGCATGTGCCTGTAATCCCAGCTACTCGTGAGGCTGAGGCAGGAGAATTGCTTGAACCCTGGAGGCAGAGGTTGCAGTGAGCCGAGATTGTGCCACTGTATTTCAGCCTGGGTGACAGAGTGAGACTCTGTCTTGAAAAAATATATATATATTTTATAAGTAAAAATAAGAGGACACAAACTACCAAACAAGGCAGTCTGTAATAGGACATTGTTATAAACTCCTAAACTGCATCTGAATGTTGGCTTTAATATATGGGCTTTTAATATGAAAATGGTGCCTCTCCTTTCACAGAAAATTGAGAAAAGACCACACAGAATCATGAGAAAAACATGAGCCTCCATCCCTGCATCCCTGCAGCAGGGATTCATCTGCCCTGGGGGACAGGCTCATGTACAGGGGCCCTTAATGCCCAGTGTTGCCTCTTCTGGTTTCTTGCCATGGCCCCACCCCAATGCTCTCCACCCCGCTACCCTCAGGCCTTGTGTGAGGTCACTGTCCCCATTTGACAGATTGAGAAACTGAGGCAGCAATAGGAAGAGGTCTGCTCACATGGGCCAATCAGGTCCCCCACAGTCTCAGACCCCGTACCACCCCAGGCCACGCCACGTCCCGGCTCTGGACTGCTCTTTCCCTGCCCCCATCCCCACTGCACCTGCACGTCTGCACCTGCGCGTCTGCACCTGCGCGTCTGCACCTGCACGTCTGCCACTGGAGGGTCTGGGTTGCTCTTTGCCTTTAAATCCCTGGTGAGGTAAGGTTTTTAAGTTTTAAGTTATCCCTGCCTGTGGGTTTCTTGATTTTTCTTTGCTTTAAATCTCACCAATGCCTCCTCACGGAGAGGTCTGGGAGCCTTCTGCTCTCCTCTGTCTGGGCATCTTGGAGGCTTCCTTCTTCCCACTTCTGCAACCCCTGCCCCACTCACCAACTCCATGGAATAGTTGGGGGAGCCCTGACCCCAGCCCTAGTATAGTCCAGACAGCCCTGTCCCTGTGACCACACCCCTGCCGCCCCAGGCCTCTGCCCAGCCCAGCACGTTAACCTCTGCCCTGACCTGGGTCTGGCCACCAGCTGCCCAGCTGCGCCTCTGACCTGTGGGGATGAGGGGCAGGAGGAGACCTTGTTTCTTCTGGGGGGGCCGCGCTGCATGGGGCGATTCTTCGCGGGGAAGTGGGGGGAGTCTAGCCTTGGGGACGGGCTCAAATGCCTCCTCAGGACTCCCCAGGCTTTTCTCTCACTGTGTTAGCAAGGCAGGCGGTCTCTGGGGTTCACCAGGTCCTGCACCGTCCATGGAGACAGAACTCACTTCCTGTGACACATCTCCCACCCTTGGGGGTCTTCCTGGCCCCCTCTGCAAGTGGCATGGTCCCCCCAGGACCCGCAATCACACCCCCCTCAGACACAGCCTGGCAAACAGGAAAGGCCCTGGGAGGAGGGGCGCCGTCTGCTCCCTGTGAGGCCCTCCCCGCCCACAGCTGGGCCAGCCTCCCTCCTTTTACCACCTGCCCCACCGCCCCGAAGCCGGGCCAGCTTCCCTCCTCCCCACCCACAGCCTGGCCAGCCTCCCTCCTCCCCACCCTCACCACAGCTAGGTCGGCCTCCCTTCCTGACCCCCCCGCCGCCCCAGCAGCCAGGCCAGCCTCCCTCCTGCCCCCCAGCCCCTTAGGCTGGGCCCTGCTGGGGACCCTGAAGGCTGCAGCACAGGGCTGCCTTGGGTTTGCTCCTGGGGCTCGTGGGCTCCCACAGGCTCCCCGGGTGTCCCCCGCTCTCCGTGCCCCTGTCTTTCTGCCCCTGCTGCTTTGCATGTCCTGCCTGATTCATCTCCTGAGACTGGGGTGAGCCCTGCACTGAGTGTAGCCACGGCGGTGGGGCTGTGTACCTGGCACACTGAGCGTAGCCCTCCAAGCAGCCTCTTTTCCCATTTCACAGATGGAGAAACCGAGGCAAGGTGAGTTGTCCAAAGCCCCCTGGAAATGCTGGGGCTGTGATTTGGACCTGTGAGGGGTTCCTCCTACTTCTCTGCACTCCCTCTGGTGGGGTGCCCTCCCCCAAGCTGCTCTGTGCCCTGGGATCAGGACATGGCCAGTGCTGCGACCCTTCCATGCGCCAAGGCTGCCCACCCACCTGGCAAGGCCAGCTCCACCTGTGGAGTTGAGGGTGGGCTGAGCCCACATGGGAGCCCAGGACCCAAGGGGTAGCTCCACTCTGTTCACCTTGTCCCTTGTGCAGCAGCTCAGAGCTGGTGCTGACGGCCAAGAGGGCAAAGGGGACGACGGGCAGGACCACAAGGGAGGCTCCGCGGAGCTGCCCACCCTGTGTATCCTCTGGTTGGGGTCAGGCGCTGGGGCCCCAGTCCTGTTTGTTTCGGCGCCCTGGGCCCAACCTGAACCTGTCCTCTGCCCCATATCCCTGGCAGGCCTCCCCGAACCCCCACCCACTGGGGCTGGCTTAGGCAAGGGTGTTTGAGACAAAGACCCTGCCCCCATGGCCAGGTACCTGAGAACCCATGCCAGATCCACATAAGGCTCTTGGTCAGCCCCGGATGGAAGCTCCAGTCCCAGGCCGGGACATGCATCAGCTCCCACACCCACGGTTGTCCCAGAGAAAGCGCTCTGCCCTCCCCCTGTCCACACCACGAGGGCCATGGCTGCACTGCCGCACCTCTGCAGGTATGAGCACGAGGCCCCAGCCAGCAGGCCCTGACCAGGTCATTCCTGATCATCCATAACCAGGGCAGTGGGGGACTGGGGTGTGGTCCAGGTGGGCCTGCATGGGGCCCCTTCAGAGTCATCTACCTCTGTGAGGAAGAGGATGGTCAAAGGAGGGTGTCCAGGGTCCAGAGCCCCTACACAGGCTTCAATGATGACACCTGCACCCAGCTCCAGAGACATCCCTGAGAGGCAGCCATCAGGGGTGCCCAGCTAAAGACACGCCTCCTTGGGGACCCTCATTTCTGAGTCCATGCCTCCAGATGCATGATCTCAGAGAAAACCACATCCGAAACTGGCGTGTGTCCCCACTGGAGGGGCTCAGGTAAATGACTGGAG